TATGGCCACCCTGTATTATGTTCCGTGACAATTTGTATGTCATTATTTTTTTTTTTTTTGAACAAATAATATTGATATATTTTTTTGTGTTGTTTATTTTTTGTTGGTTCAACACGAAAAATCGTTTTACGAGTTTTAGATACTCTTAACAAAAACATATCCTTCGCTATGTCAAACCGAGTAGGTACTATGGCGCTCTTTAAGATGAAGTACTTTATATGGTTTTTGGCCTTTTGTACTCTAATTGAACTCTCTCATTCCGACAAAGAGACAAAAGAATTTATCGAGTGGGCTGAAGATATCGACCGAGGACTTTATAGCGGTCCTTTAAAAACTAAGTTGTTTGAAAACAAATTAGACGATTACAAGAAAAAATTTTACAAAGACCTATGGTGTAACTCCGTGGTAAGTGCTACAGTTCATATGCATTTAACCAAACCATTTTTGGAAAGCCCGGTATGCCGAAACTTTTTGAAAGTCAGAGATATGGTAAATATTACATTTATTAGCGAAGCCGATCACATATTAGCTGTTTTATTCAAAGACAACCACGAAGACCGCCAGCGGGTCAGAGAAATTATATGGATCTTCCTCGTGTATTCTGAACTTGCAAGTGGTTTCTTTCAACCATTGATTCGAAAAGACACTAAAAATATATTAAAAACTCACGAGGTCGTAGTACAACTGCTCGAAGAGTTTATCAAATTAAATTCATGCGAATTGTTCCATCCAACTGCTAAAACAAAAGTAACAGACGTTGTAAGCTTAGTTAAAACGGGAGGACAAATATCTGGGGATTTATATGTAATTGTAGAAAGATTATTAATACAAATGAAACGAAACAAGCAAAATTTTAATAATCAGAATGAATATAACTGCCAAATAGACAAAAGATTTTGTCCGGATATGGTACATTATTATTCCATGTATAGTTTGCTCTTGAACCGTTTATTGGAATACGAAAATGTTAATATTAATAACTTCGAAAAATTTGGTATTCAGTTGGACTTGAAACAAATAGAGGAACAACTCAGAAAACATTACGAACTCGGGACTGACCTTATCAACCCTTTACACGTACGAATCGAATCGATAACTAAATTTCATAAACAATTTTTGCACTTAATGAAAGTGATTGCTGTTCGACTTGTAATGAGATATTTGTTGAACATCAAGCGAATGGAGAAACAAACATTAGAAGACTTCGTGCTTAATCATCTCAAACTAAGCAACGACAAAATGATCGAACATTTGAACTCGTTTGCTAAATATTTCGATATAACTGACGACGAACACCTGTGTTCGGCAATGGAATTGTTGAAAAATCCAGCTAAAGAATTCACTGAAAGCAGTGTTATCGATGGTAACGTGGGTATTTTAATGAAATTGTTGGCAAAGATGACTTTAGATGGTATTCGTTTCGACACCAAGATGGTCGTAGATGAAAATGACAGTATTTCCACTCTGGAGAATGTGAATATTATCGTAAACAAATATTATTTTTCTACCAGTGATGAAACCATGGGGGATTCGGTAAAAGAAAGCCTGATCGGTGCAGAAGTTTATGTTAAGTTCGTTAAATATATTACACGTTATGTTAACTTTACTGTAATTAAGTCGTTCGATCTGGTCGAATCTTCTAAGAGTTACAATCGTTTAAGAGATTTGGAAACTAAGGACCAATAAGATATGTACACTAACTTTAATTTTGTTAACATTTTTTTGTGAAAAACAATGTATTTTTGTTTTTAAAGCTATAAAGGGCGTTGGGTTTTATAATTTATTATTAAATAAGTTTTTTTCAATTATTTACAAATATTTTATGGGAATTAAATAAATATATAAATAAAACATTATTATTTTAAAAATGGTTTGTCTCATTTTTCAGCTCTACCTTATTCCATACCTTTTTTTATGTAGTACCTCCGTATAAAAAATATTATGATTTAATGTAAATACTCCTGAAAAGTAGTGTTTTATAAGTTGAAGCGAATAATTCATATCAAATTAATTCTTTCATAATTTTGTGAATATAATATACGTATGTGTTTATAAACTTTAGATTAATGTCGAGTTTTGGTTAAATGTGCCTTAATAAATGCTCGTGTAGTAATTATTTTGTTATTAGAGAGTTTATTTTATATTTGTTAATTGCAGGCATAAAAAGTGTATATATTCTTAAGATATTTAAAAAATTTAACTAGGTCGAATTTAAAGGTGTAGTTTTTATTTTTGAGTATATTTTTCATTTAGTGCATTGGTTCAAAACATCACATCAACATATGTTTACCTCTTGTTTAAATAAATAACACAACTATTCAATACGTTTCTGTGTAAACAAGCATATGTAAAGTTTTTCAAAAAATGAATGTACAATGATAAAACCGTACAATATTCAAAATATTTTTACAAAATATAAAAATTAAATAGTAAAATTATTCATGGTTATATCTTTTAAACCGCAGAACCGATTTCTTCGTGTAGCAACATTTTATTTTTTTATGGTACATATCATTTTCAAAAAATTGTTTACGGTTTCTGAAAAACTTGTTATTGTAATTTGGTCACGGCAGATGTTCTTTTAGTATTTATTTTCAAACTTTATTCATGTATGTATATTACGTATAAAAAATAAAAATAAAGAAAAACAAGAAATAAAGGCCGTCTTTTAGCAGTTACAAGAAATAATAGTAATAATAATTTAAAAAACATTCATACATAAATATCTTTAAAATATGAAAAATAAATTAAGGAATAATTAGTTGTAACAGTCTTGATGGACAATCCCCAAACGACCTTTTTTAATTGAAATGTCTACTGAAAAAAAGAATGATTCACAACAAACCTATCACTCTATATATTTTTTTTTTTTTTGTGTTGTTTATTTTTTGTTGGTTCAAGACAAAACATAATTTATATACTTTTAACAAAAACATTTTCTTCGCTATGTCGAACCGTGTAGTTACTGTGGCGCTCTTCATGATGAAGAACTTTGTAATGCTTTTTGTCTTTTACGCTCTAATTGAACTCTCGCATTCCGACGAAAATACAAAGACATTTATCAAATGGGCTAATGATATGGACCGAGGACTTTATAGCGGTCATTTTCAAACTAAGTGGTTTGGAAATAAATTAGATGACTGCAAGAAACAATTTTACACAGACCTTTGGTGTAGCTATGCGGTAAGTGCTGTTGTTCATATGCAGTTAACAGACACATTTTTGGCGAACGAGAAAGCTCGAAAATCATTAAATGCTGCCGAAAAGAACAATGTAGTCTTACATTTATAAACGAAGCCAGTCAAATGTTAACCGTTGTATTGAATCACAAGCTCGAAGACAGCCAGCACACTCTCATTGCAGAATTAATGTGGATATTTCGTTTTTACACTGAACTTCCATATGATTTCTTATAGCTAACCGGCCTTTCAGAAGAAACCAAGGAAACCGTGTTAAAAACTCACTACGTCGCAGTGCAATTGCTCAAAGACTTTATAAAAACACAGAATTGCAAAGTGTGCTATCCAAGTACTAATAAAATAGTATCCGACGTTGAAAAATTAGTCGAAACGGGAAAAGAATGTGTAATAAAACGTATAGAGAATAACAAGCAAAGCATTAGTAAACAGATTCAGCATAACTACAAATTGGACGAAAGATTTGCCAGAGGACTTGGTAAGGTTTGTTGTTTACATTATTCTTTGGATAATTTACCCTTGGACCGTCTGTCGGAGTACAGCTATAGGAAAATTAAACACTTGGAACGATTTGGTATTCAGTTGGACTTAAATCCAATAGCGGATAAACTTAGAGAATATTACCTACTCGGGAAAGACCTTACCAACCCTCTGTGCGAACGAATCAAATGGATAATTACTTATCAGGAAAAATGTGTGCATTTGATGCAGGTGATCGGTATTCGACTCATAATGAGATACTTGTTGAAAATCAAGCACATAAATAAAAATAACCCATCATTAGATGACTTTGTGCTTGAGCATGTGAAAATGACAACATGATCGAACCTTTGAACTCGTTTGCTGAACATTTCAATATAACCGACGACAAACACTTGTGTCAGGCAATGGGATTCTTAAATATTCCACCTGAAGACTTCTCTCAAAGTAGTGTTATTGATGGGTCCTTAAATACTGTAATGGCATTGTTGGCAATGATGACGTTAGATGGTATGCGTTTCGACACTCCGATGAACGTAGATAGAGAAAACTGTATGGAGACTATGGAGAATATTACAATTATCGCTAAATCATATAAATTGTCCACACTTGATAAATCCATCGGGTATGCAATAAAAGAAAGCATATTAGGTGCACGAGTGTTAGTAGATTATGTTAAGGATTTGCTAAATGGTGTCGATATTGTTGCAATGAAGTCGTTCGAAAATTCTGACAGTTATAATCGATTAAGAAAACTGGAAATTGGCGATCAAGAAGAAGATCCGACGGTTGCCTAAGTATTCCACTAACTTTGATTTATTTAACGTTTATTTTATATCAATAATAATATATTGTTGTTTTAAAGCTCTGATTACATAGGGCGTTTGGATTTTTAAAAAATATTTTAGAATAAGTTTTAGGTTTTACAATTATTTACAATCATTTTATGGGACTTAAAAAAAATAAAAAATTGAGCTATTTTTATCATAAAAATGGTGTGTCTTATTTTTCTGATTTACCTTATTCCATACAAACGGAATTGGGCAGACTACTCTGTTCTCTGTTACTTGCCTAACTGTTTTATTTTACCACCTTCTTTATGTATGTCTGTACAAAAAATAATATGTACAGACATACATAAATATATTGGTTTGTTATAATATATTATAATATGTATATAATATATAGATATAAATACAAATATGTGACGAACGTTGATAATAATATTATAATTTTGATAACATATTATCAATAAAAAAAAAAGTTCAACAAGTACTTTACTGATAACACACGTTGATAACGCTTATCAACGTTACAGAGCTGATTACGAGGAACATTTTAAAATTTCCTCGAACCAACTGCAGTTAACTCGTCTGGATTTTAATAACAAAATTATTATTATTATTGTGTTTGACACGCTGGACAACATTTTAGTGAATCGACTTCACAGTTCACAATTATGATACCGATGTAGTTTTTAATAAACATATCTCATGCCGTACAACTACACGGTTGTAATGGTTCTCTCGGCGCCGAAAATAACCGTACCGGTAAGTGGTGTCGATTTGTTTTTACCGAATTAGAACCGTCCTTTTGTGTTTTACATGCGTCATGTTGGCCAAGTTGAAACAAGTGCTCACCAAGTTCCCGTCGAAACATTTTGCCTACTGTTTCGCGTACGGGTCTGGAGTGTTCCAACAGGCCGGACGCAACGATCGGGCCATGGTCGACATGATATTCGTTGTCAAAGACTCGTACAACTTCCATCGAGAGAACATTGCCGCCAATCCCGACCACTATTCGTCGCTGTGCCATCTCGGCCCGTCCGTGATCACGCACATCCAAAAGTCATACGGCTCCAACGTGTATTTCAACACGCTAGTCACTGTCGGAGACCTGAAGTTCAAGTACGGCGTCATAGACATAGAAGACTTCCGTCGAGACATGTTGTTCTGGCAGTCCATTTACATTGCCGGCCGACTGCATAAGCCCGTGTTGATATTGTACGACGAAGGTCTAAGCGAACTGGTCAATCACAACCTCGAGAGCGCCATTCACGTTGCGCTGTTGCAGTTGCCGGAGAAGTTTCCCGAAATGGACTTGTGGCTGACCGTGGCTGGCCTGTCCTACAGCGGAGACTTTCGCATGATCATCGGCGAGGATAAGAACAAAGTACAAAATATCGTCATGCCCCAGTTGGACAACTTCAGGACGCTCTACTCGCCAATTATTCAATCGATGAGTCACGTCCTATTGTTGAACGCGATCGGACACCAAGACAAAAGTACGGAGAGCAAAATGTACCACTTGGAAAGGTTACCGCAAAATGTAAAAAATATTATACTAAATACCAATGTAAATATGTTAGAGAATAGGTGCTTTTTGTTAAACGATTTAGCCGTAAGAAAAGATACCAATGTAATTATAAGTAAGAGCGTCAACAAAATTGTATTTTATGCTAGTCTCACGCAGAGCCTAAAGGGAATACTAACGGCCGGTCTGTTGAAGTCTATAATCTATAGCTTAAGAAAATTAAAAAAAATGTTCATATCGATGGTGCCGTAAATTATCGTCCCCTACACAATTTACGACAAATTTTATATTAGGTACGTTTTTTCCCATTCACAGTACAATTTTTTCATTATTATTATTATTGTGGCATAATTTTTATTAATGTATCTACTGTTACTATTTTAATGATTTATAATCAATTCTTATAAAAATATAAAACATTACCGACAATTACAATAATATGTACATAGTCGTCGTCGTGTAAACAGTGTAGCGTTGTAAAGTATTTGAATTTAAGTATTTGAGTACAAGTGTTTAGTATATCTAAAAAAAAGAACCGAAATACTTGTATTCAAATACTTTTTAAGTGTCACTCAAATACTTTACAACACTAGACTTGCGTTATTGTATCTCAATAACGCTCACTGTACAATTAGTATCTTTTAATTATTTGTTAGTCAAAGTCATTAGTCATATTAGAATGTAGCAATCTATTAGAAAACATTTTTTATTTATGTATTGTTAAATTTACTTTTTTTTTTTAATCGATTCGTGACAGTTTTAGTCAAAGTATAATATTATGTCATTTATCCATTTAAATAACACAAATTGTTTGTTGTTTTTTTTTTTAACCAATCGATCAGAGTGTCGAAACAAACTGTTCAAAATAAATTGAAAAAATTAATATTTGTTTAATTTGTGAAAATGGTTTTAGTACATTGTTATAATGGGGGGTTTTTTTTTTGTTAATGAAAATTTTAAACCAGTGCTTTTCCTGGTACTCTAAAATTAAAATAAGTTGAGTTAAGCAAAGATGGTCTTCCTACGATTGTAACGTACAGGACAACGTGTAACATCGACTGAATGTAATAAAAAATAATAATTGTTTATAAAGAGCTGTTTTTTTTTCCAGTTATTTGAACAATTACAGACAAATCAATAACAATAAACATTATGAATACTTCAAACACGGATTAAGTTTTCGTATTGGCAAAATATAAGTGGATAGTCTAAACGTTATTTGTAAGTAATCATATTACGTCACTTAACCAATCATTTATCTGGTATAAGCTTCAACGACGTCGCTGGAACGGAACTATAATTATTTAATTATCCGAGCGTAAAAGTCGTTTCGAATCTGTCAACAATTGTCTGTTTATAATATGCTTTTTGATAGCAACGACAAAAGGTCGAGTCGGTCTACGTTTGTGCCGACATTAACAGCCACTATCGTTGTACACGTGTATCAGGTAGACGTCGGACTAGACGTTTTTGATATTTAAATTAAATTGACCCAGCCGAAGACGAGACAATAATCATAAACCGACTCGAATAATGGCCGTTAATTAAAAACAATCGAAGCTACACACCAATCAAAAAAACATTATAGACTAATTACTATTATTGGGGGATTTTTTTGTTCCGTTTTTTTACATACGTATGAGCAAATCACGTCGTGGTTGTTAAACGACAACGACTAATAATCGGTTGTTTAAATTACTTTTTCACAAATTTATTTTAAAAAAACAATATACATTCAAATAATGTTTCGTCTTGAAAACTGGATATTAAATGTAATTTTCGTCTCGAGAAATAAAAATTCATTACATTTTATACATATTATCATATATATTATAAAATTAATTAATATATCTGTATAATATATAAAATATGTATAAATTATTTACACAAAATAGCTCTTAATTTATTAATTTACTTAAAATATACTCAACAAAAAAAAAAAAAAAAAACATCAAGTCATGAACTCTATATTATATTTGTTTACAATATACAATATAATATAAAAATAATATTATATATATTTATTTATTTATTACAACTTAACTTTTAAATACTATTCGTTTTACCGGTTTTATAAATTCTTTTTTTATATTATTATTATTATTATCATCATCTTTCATTTACATTTTTTTTATTAATTAGAGATCAATAAGCATTATTTTAAACCTCTACAAAACAACGAATCATCGAATTATCGAGTTTTGATAAAAAAAAAAAATAATAATAATAATAAACAATCAAACAAACAATGTATTAAAAGTTTTACCCGTGAGTTTACAACAAGTGAACTAAGCGTAGATATAAACTCTAAATAAAATATATTATATATAATGACAATATATAAAAGTTATCTTTTTCTCTAAAACCCTGAACGTGTATTGAGACCATATATATATATATATATATATATATACATCTAATAGTACTACCACAAAAAAATAAAAATAAAATACAAGACACAAGAAACTAATAATATTAATAATAATAAGAAAAAAAAAATTATTAAACAAAATATTGAATTGCTCGCCTTTCGTTTTGCCGACAAACGTTTCGTGTTATGATAGAGACGCGTATGACCGAAAAACAATATCGTAAGACTAAGAGAAATGAAAAGCGTTTTAAACATATTGTAACACTTTTTTTTTTATATATACATAAAAATTTTACGATAGGAATGTCGACTAAAAAGTTTCAGAAATATTTTAAGCTTCGGTTACAGACGTAATGTATAAATATTACATATATATATATATATATATATTGAAAGTAAAACACATTATTAACTCTTCGACGGCAAACGCTGTCAATCACAAACATAATATTATTCTTAATACCAAAACAAAAGAGTATCACATTAAACAATTTTTTTTAATTTATTCATAACGAGTGTCCGTAAGGAAATATGAAAGACAAAACAGCAGTAGAATAAAATTCGGATAAATTTTCGAATAAAGCGTGATATAAACGAGTTATTCTTCTTTCTTTCTTTTTTTTTTTAATCAATATAATTATAAGTAAAATAAAACGTACGAGGTATGTATTTGATTAAATTATACATTTAAAAAAAAAATTTTTAATAATATAATAATTATAATATATAATATATATATATAATAATAATAATAATAATAATAAATTTATTTAAATAGGCATTTATGTACACGAATCAACAATCAACAACAACGCATTATTACTATTATTATTTTATCAAATTTAATTTTTTTAACGTTATTTTAATTTTCTAAATCGAGGAAGACGTTTTTACATTTTTTTTTTTTTTATATTTAATCAATCACCTATTTGCTTATAAATAGTAAAAAATATAAATCTCAAAATATCGGCCCGATATTACAACTAATATTATAATATATAAAAAAAAAATAAATCCATCATCTCAGACGGGGTTTCTCGCACAAAACGGTCAACTTATTTTTTTATTTGTCGAACAATGTCAGTCAATTAGGAAAAAAAAACATAATATAATATACTACTGGTAACATAACATTTTTCAGATGCGTACATCGTTGCTCCGTTTTTTGTGTATTTTTTCGTTGTGCGACAGTCTTAGGGGATTTGCAGTCGGCGCATTTCGACTTAAAATGGTGTTACTACGTGTATTTTTTTTTTTACATATACATATATATATATATATATATATATATATATATATATATATAAAATACCCTGTATAGATTGTATCCCGAGTGTACAACGTAATATTATTACAATCCCGTTGATACAAATCGGGCGTTGTGGCAGTCCATGGTTGGTGTACGAATTTCATAATATTATATTTTAAAACTTGGTAACATAAAAAAAAATTAAAACCTTTTTCATTTTCTAAAAAAAATTTCCTTCATTATATTATAGTAAGAAGCTTGTACTCGACACCGACGTCAATGTCAACGCGTACGGTGGGCGGGCAGGGCTGGGAAAGCGTTCAAGAGGCTTGTTCGAGTTTGATAGCGGTTTGGGATAGGCCGGCTGATACTTGTGGCGATACCGAGGTAGACATGTTGAGCTGCAGCTGCATCGGTGAACTGGTCGAGGCCGTCGACAAGTCTTGGGGTCCTTCTTGCCACTGACTCTGGCCGGTGCAGGGCATGCTCAGGTCGGTCGGATAGTTGTACTCTTCGTCTGACGCCTCTGCTGCCGCGTCGGGCGCTTGTGGTTTGACCGCGGTTGGAGTGGGAGGCGTCTGAGGTGACGACGCCATTTGCTGACGCAGTAATGATATGTTTTTTATACATTTCAGTTCGCTCGGGTTACGAAGAAATCTGTAGTTTAGGAAAAAATCACAATTATAATTTCATTTAATTTAAAAAAACCCAAGAAATAGGTTTTGGGGGGTTTAGGTGTTACAAAACTTACTGGTAACAATGTCTTTCGCCTTGGACTTTCCTCAGAATGTTCACTCTGTAGTAGTAACGCAGAGCTCTGGACATTTTATCATAGTTCATCGACAAATGGTTCTTCTGGATCCCCCACAGTTTGGCCAGACCTGGCGGGTCAACGATTTTGAACACTCCCATCTCTTGGTTCTTCCAAGCTATAAAGCTGGTGAAACGTTGTTGAGAATCGTTCAAAAGCTGTTGTAGGAAATCCCATAGGAGACGGCCATCTGATAGGGGGAGCAAACCAGAAATTAGTATACGAAACTCAAGACGGTACAACAAGGTGAGAAAGACTTACTCGTATTGGGTTCGATAGAGTTGGAATCGCCTGACGGGAAGAATATGTTGCCGCCGTTGGACATTTTGGGCGTCGACGGAGAATACGGTGGCGGTGAAGTAGAGGAAGACGGTGTAGTCGGAGTCGGTGGCGGTGGGTGGAGCTGACCGTTGAGTGCCGAAGACTCTTCCGGGTCTGAGTCCGACTGATTGCTACCGCCAGAGCTGGTGCCGCCGCCATTGTTTGAATATCCTAAAAGAGAACATAATATTATAATTTAAAAATTGTTTAATAAACTGAGATAAATAGTAAATAATGGTGATTGCACTCACCGGCAGAAGCGTTGGTCGGGAATATCGATACGCTGGGCGTGAGGTGATGGCCGACGGTGGTGGGTGGCTGCTGGAAGTCCATGTGCCTGGGACTGTCCGACTGGCTGTCGATGGAGGGCGCTGGGCTGAGGACGGCCGGCGACGACGGCGGCGGCGGTAGACACCAGGTGGGGCTAAACGGAAAGTGTGAGGCCACGGGGCTGCTGGGCATGTGGCCAGGGCCGCCGCCGACGGCACACAGGTCGCCACCGCGCCGCAACAACTGCAACACGTTGTACAGTAGATCGCCGGCGCCGGGGCATCGTTCGCCCAAGTCTTGTTTGGTCAACAAACAGAGGGCTTTGCCGTTCATCTGGAACAGTTCGGTGTCGAAGCGCGGCAAGTCGAACTCCAGCTCGGCCCATTGTATGAAGGCGGCCACGTCCTCTTTGCTCCAGATTCTAGGGTCGGTAACTGTACGCGGAAAACAAACTTGTTTTAGTATATTGATGCAATGTTATTATACGACCGACCACCTAATAGTATTGATTGATACTCACTCAGGTTTGCCGGCAAATGGTGTTTGAAGTCGATAGGCGAAGGGAAGGGCGTAGGTGGTAAAAGGGTAGGCGAAGGTGGGAAGTTGAAAGCACCGCCGTGGTGCGGGTGGTGGTACCGCCAAAACAGGTCGGCTGCGGCCACTGCGCCACTGTTGAACACGAACGCGGCGGCCGCCACGTTGTTGTTGAGTCCTGCTCCGGTGCCGGGAACGGTGCCGGGGCCGGCGGTGCCCCTATAGCCGCCGCCGCCACCGCTGCCGTTGGTCACACCACCGGTGGCCGTTGGCCGCGCGGCCAACGTTGAATTCTGACCGGAAGTAAACGGCATCAGTTTCATGACGCCTTCAAGTTTTCAGCTGCAACACACAAAACGACAACAAAACGTTAATAACAAGTACTATGTATATTATATATAGACAACAGCTGACATAAGACTTCACGATAATATACTTAAGTTAGATTTTGGTATTTACCCTAAATTATGGGCTGTAACTAGGGGGTTTTAATATTAGGATATATTAAGTACCTTTACAAGAACAATCCATTTTATTTGTCGTTTTGGAAACCCTGAACGCTATAGTTATGCTTATCTAATAGAAGCCCATTTTTCTGTTTTTTTTAAATTTCAACTTGTATTTTTTTTAGCAGCACATTCAAACAAACACAATGAGCAGTGTTGGATTTCGCGTAGGCAAGCACGTGGGCAACGCACGTTCTAAGAAATGTTTCTAAAGTGATTATTAATACTATTATAATTATTATTGTAACACTAAATGTCGTCATTGGCATAGTGTTAATGCGGGGTAAATACTACGGTCATCGATGAGCGATCAATGTGTGTCCGCCTTCGGGGAATATAATAAATATTATGACGCGTTAATTTTCAAAAAAACAGGAAATTCGAGAAAATTCTGAAACGGAGCGTCAAATAAAAACAATAGAAAAAAATTGCATACTAGTATATATTTAGTTTGAGCAGAATTATATTCCGGATTGAACAGTCGACAAATAAACAACAATAATATTATACGGGACATCAATATATTAATTGCGTCGATCATTGTAAAAGTGGTGTAATTCAAAATTTGTTTATTATATATACATATTTTTTCTCAATGGAGTCACATTTAGTCATTCATATCTTTCGTTTTAAAACACGAGAAACAACTCCAATAAATAGAAAACACTGAATGAGTACTTGTACTTGTTTTTGTACACGTTAATTTACAAAAAGCTCGCCATTTCAAAATTCAATTACAATGAGACAATTCACTTTTACAATGAACCAGAGACACAGTATTCAAATAATAATTGTTAGCATTACACGTTTAGGCCGCATGAGCTCCTGTTATCACACCTCCGGCCTCCTGTTATCACAGTTCCTTATCACTGATAGAGGAGGAGTGATAACAGGAAGTCGTACGGCCAAAACTTACTACTATAGTTGTTGTTGTTGTCTTTTTATAGTAATGTCGTGTATTTCTTGTAATAAGAATAAGAATATCTATGATTAATTAATGTTGTCAACAAACACATATTATATTTTAAAACACAGGGTGATTCGCCAACAGGGAACAGCTGCTGCTGCTGTGAGTCAACACACAAAGACGTGCGCCACCTGTGATTCACCTTGTAGGTATGCTTGGCGGCGGAAGTAAACGGCTTAATCAGAGATTCCGCGCGCAAAGTTCCCGGTAGTCAACATATTGTATCATTATTATATTACTATTTATTATTACACGAGACCCGAGTTCAAATCTTGGCCAGCAGCTCAAAGATCGGTGTTATCAGCTGTTATTGCACGCTAACCAACAACTGATAACGCGGCCAAACGAGCAATATTTATTACACAGGTAACCGAACATATCCAGTGGCAAGGTCAAATAAAAATAAAAAAACGGATCATATATTTTATAATATTATAATATCGAATTACATTGATCGGTCCATTGTGTGTACTGTGTTGTGCATCCGCAAGTCTGCTGGATATGCATACACCTATTATATAATAATGATAATTATATGTTATCGTAGTAAATCCGAGCTAAGCGTCGATTGTATGGAAATTAAGACCGGAAGCGCAATAATTATTATGTTTACCAAGACTACAGAGGGCAATCCGTCAAAAACCGAATAAAATGTCCGGTAATTTATTAATTAATTAAAAATAAAGTAGGTAACTATAATACACAATTCTCAAGTTCATCGAGGACGACATTGAGAAAATAATACATCAAATTTGGCCCGACATGTCAAAGCATAAAGAATAATTTAGTCAAATTTAGTAAACATAGTGTTGTTACACCTAACCTGGTAACCGGTTAACCGTTGACGCGGTCAGCGGAGTTAGTGCTTTTCTGTTTCATATACATATGGCGTTGGTGGAAGATGGTATTGTGGTAGTCCAGATAAACTTACAAGGGCAAAATGAACAAAAACTGAATTCCATTTGCAAAGAAGGATGGAAAGGGATGACAATTTGTACTAACACCGAACGAGTAGTCAAAAAGTTGTAAGAAAGTGGTAGTGTTGAACTGACTTTAATAAGTGGTGGCAAGTACAAGCAAGATTTGGTCAATTTTGATGGCAAGTTTTGTTTTTTCTAAACTATTATATTATAGTATTGAATTATTTCGGCCGAGGAATAAGTCAGAATGGGTTAGGTGCCGAGTTAAGACGGAAATATCGCCTTGTAATTATTATTATTATTATAATAATAATAATAAGAGCTGCGCTCGTTTGAGCGTACGACAAGAGGTCGGTGACCCTTTAAGCTGACACATTGAAATTATGATTTTTTTTTTAGTTTAAAAAAAAAATCCCACTAGTTTATGTGAAACGACGACAATATTAATTATATTGTTATAATAATATATGAAAAACGAAACGCTCCGTCAACGCGTGCTCTTCTTCTCGTTTACACCACACAACACTTCCAGTTTTAGATTATTATTATTATTATTATTATTATTATAAGTTATACAGAGGCGTCATAATGTATTCGGTATCAAAAAATAAATAATAACATAAAAAACCGGACAGTGTTCGGCGGTAGGTTTTTTTTTTCCTGTACAAATTCTAACCGAGCAAATGCGGTTTTAAAAAAAAAAAAACAATTTTTTTTTGTAGACATAAGCTGCTTCGGGGCTCGTCTTCGTGACGTGTACACGAACAAAGATTTTTCCGAGGAAGTTTTTTATTATTATTTTTTTTTTCCTACAAGCGGAAAAGACTTATAAGCACAAACACACACATAATATACACCGGCAAAAAAGCAAACAGGTAAACGCGCTCGTGGCGGGCGTGCCCGTTCTAGTAGTAGTAGTCTTCGCCGCAATAATATACAAAACATATTATTATTATTACATTATTTATATACAGGAACAAACGAGTACTAGTTGTCGTGTTCGTCACAAGGTGATCTACACACATACACACAAAACAAAACAAAACGGAAACGATACACACACACACACACACACAAACAAGATGCACATGTCTCCTAGTTTGGATTTGAATTTATTATTAACCCGGCAACGCTGTTCGGACACTTCCCTTTCGGTCGTCATCACAACAGCAGCAACTACTCTAAATATCCAAATAAATATCTAAAAAACTAGTCCACAATTCGAATAAACGCGGGCGTTGGCGATGAGTAAAACAATATTATGAAGTAAGCGAAAGGACGAGCTGCAGTGCGACCAGAACGGCGAAATTACATTTCCCTCGTTACACGATTTGTTTCTTTCTTTTGTGTGGTGGCCACACTGGTTTTAGTCCTTCCGTTTACTTCACGCTATCGCATACAAGCTAGTATTATATAACTTAGGTCATCTCTATTACTCTATGATCAGACCACAGAGAATAAACTAGATTGCCAAGATTGCCCTAGAGATGATAATTGAAGTTGCCATTATTCGCCATTATTATAATATTGATAACACAGAATTACAGATATATACATTGTAACACACACTTAAATGCCACAAAAATGGCGGACGTCCACTTGCATTCGTATCACTAGTTAGCAATCTAGTTTATTATAAGTGTACATCTCTGTGAAAGTAAAATTGTTTTATTGATCTGTATTGGTCGATAAGGATTATACTGTGTTGTAGTGTTATTTTTTCAGGCGGCTATTGTTGAAAGATCAACTTAAAATTAATAATACATCGAAGGAATTCCAATAGAAAATCATAGCCAATCAAATACTAATGCAAAATCGTACAGATAGAATAGACTACACGGGTTACCATTGTGTTTTCTCGTTTCCGTTCAAGTGGACGACGGCTTGAGAAAATTTAACATATCCATATTTTTACATACATTAAGTCAATCGGTCGAACAACAAAATAATCAACGTTAAACAATAAAAATTACTAATTAAAAATACTTTACCGTTCTAAACCTAACCTACCCAAACGTAACCTCCTAATATGTAATATACAATATTTATTCAATACCGATTAAACGAAAAATAATGTTTTTAAATATTCAACTCCAAACTATAGGCACACGTAGTAGGTAATTTTATGGCGATGACGACTGTGTTAGGTTATTGTGTGGCCAACGTTACAAGTATAACGAGGAAGTCATAATATGCTACAAGGAAGTCGTACACCGGATGCACGATATACCCATTTTGAAATAAAGAAGAAGTCATTACGACAAATTACCATACCAAAAACACATTTAGTTGTAAATACATATTTAAACTGTACGTGCGAATAGGTATGTTCAGAAAAATAAACTAGGTACACGGCAAATCCAACAGAACCTAAGATATCTTACAAAAAAAAATCATCAAAACTATAAATAAAAACAGACGTCTATCCGAGTATTTCTTATACAAACGCCATCTAAACTTATCTAACATTATCAACTTGTTTACACTTGGAGTTAGGTCAGGTCTGACGATGTTAAATTAGGGTTAATAGGGTTAAATTAGGGTTAAAGTCAATGTACATCTACAGGGTGTAGATGCATTTTGCTTTCTGCAGGATTTGTTGGCTGTCACACAGGAGTATAAATATTATTATATAATACACTACTGTGTTTCAGTTGAAAAATACCACCTAAGTGGTATGCGCGTGTGTTATGGGTTAGGTAAAAATATACAAGTATACATAAGTATACAACCGAGGATTTGGAAACAATCGGTATAGTGACAAAACACGGTCATTAATGGGCAAACAATGGCCGTTAACGGCGGATAGAAAGTCGTGGCCCCCGAGGCTCCTCCCGGCGTGTCTTACCGGTTCTACGCCTAAAAATATTAGCAACACCTGGCAGCAGCAGCAGCACAAGGTAAATATAATTATTACCGGAATTCAAGACGGTGTGTGTATACAGCTAT